ATTCTTGTACTACACGGTACGGATTAACATTTGCGGTGGTGGTCCTGTGGTAACGCCGCCAAATTATCGCCCCGGGAATGTGTGCTCCAATCCCACCACAAGAGCCTCACTTCTCCATTGAATGGCATCCCTTTGATTGGCCACTTCCTCCTTCCCGAAAAAGTTATATTTGTATATTCAATAAACGGAAGTAAAATGAAAAAGAAGGAGAAAAGAAAGTTTTCGTCTGAAGGTTTTACCAAAATATCATTAATTTCCTAATTCCGAATGTACATTAATTCTTTGAATCATAGGCGAACTTTAAAAAAATTGAAAACTATTAACCATCCATTTAATTTTGGTCACGCAATANTTATATACTCCGACTATTACAATTTGGATGGTGAGAATGCGAATGTTTGATTGTGAATAACAACACTACAGACGATAAAACCACGGGGTAATGACAAATTGCTCCGGAGATACGGGTTGTTCAGTTAACAGTTTAATTTTAACGTATGAAGGAAAAACTGTTCTGCACAGTGAATAAACTTTGATCAATGATTTATTTCTCATGTGCTTCCTACCCGTTTGCCATATTTTGACGACTGTCAACCTGCGAACACTGAGTTTCCTTCATTTGCTTCATTTATACCGAAAGAAGAGACAAATATTGCAAGATGGTAATACTTCGTTTAATCTGCTCAATAGCAGTCGTAAAACAAGCCAGCATACACAGAACATTGAACTGCTCAATTATATTGAACGAAAGTGAGCAAGCAAACAAAGGTTACGAAACATACAGGTGTAAGTTGAACTCCATGATAATTTGTTGATTGTACCAAGAGCTTTGTTGTGCGTTTCGTCGCGCGGCGTAGTCGAATAAGCAGCGCTCCCTTAGTAACCGAACGTTGAGCATTTTCAGTACGAAATAGTGATTTAACAGTCGAAACAGAGTCAACTGTGTGTCTTGTTGTCATGATATTTTGTGCCGCAGGTACCCCCGGATTTCTTGTGGTCATTGGTTTCTTTGCTGCGTTATTGATTTTGCCCA